ATAAGCTAAAAATGCGTGTTCTTCATTGCATTTGATAATTATCTCCCCTTCCAAAGAGTTTTTATTTACGTTCTTTCTTACCAAGGTTACTGTTTTAAAGTTAGCCAGTAAGTTAGACATCTTGTCTTCAAAATTTCTAATGGGCTGGTTGTATTCTTGTTTCAATTCGTATATCTTTTGTAATATTTGGGGAACTGATAGAGTAGGAATATAGTTCGAGAGTAGACATGTTTGAATTTTCTGTTTGGTTGGAGGTTGTAGAAGAGTTATTACTGCTAGCTGTGCCTGTGCTGCTAATGTTGTCTTCTGAGGTGGACATTTTTATTAGGTAAAGTCTGGTTTTGTTGTAATTATACAGAAAATTTTCTTTAAGTAAAGCAGTTTCTTCCAATTTTGAGGTTATATATATATCATCCAACACGTGCATGTGCGTGTTGAAAGCTTGATATAATCATTTGCAATTCAATAAGAACAAACGCATTCTTATCATTTTTGGTGACCCCGACGTGATAGCGGCATTAACAGGATCATCACTTGGTGCGTAATCTACGACAGCTAAGAACTTGGTGCATGTACACACAACGTGATTGCATTAAGACACGTGTTCAATTGTATTCAGTCATACATACATCTGGCACCAACTGTTAATTTCATAAAAGAACAAACTTTTCAAGTGAAAAAATGGTAACCATTGAAGGAGACAAAAAACAAGAAGGGACCAAGCCTGTGTCGACCGAAGATGTGACAAAACCGTTACGGAATCAAAGGGCGCTGATTCTCACCAAGTTAAGTCAAAACAATGATATAATATAGAAATCCACCACTGCAGACACGGTAAGGGACTACAGTTGGGAGGTATTTTTTGAAATAGAAAGGAAATTACACAATATTTTGGTGTTAATAAAATCGAAGCTAAAATTGTTAAATTCTAGTGATGGTATCTCAGAAAATAATGTAACATTGCAATCACAATCACTAAAATTGCTACAAATTACGCTTCCAACATTTGATGGTAATCCATTAATGTGGGTGGAGTTCCGTGATTTGTTCACACAATTGACAGACGTGCAAGCATTTATTTGACTACAAATTTGGTTGGAGAACCCAAAAATTTAATAAAACATTTACCAGCGTCTGAAGAAAACTACACAACAGTGTGGGAAATTTTGACCTCTCGTAATGATAACAAACGTCTCTTGGTCACTGCATTACTCAACAAGTTATTAAGTCAACAATCATTAACATCAGAAAGTTCTTCCGGATTAAAATCGCTGCATGATGTCACTAAAGAGTGTATCTTGGGTTTGTATGCACAAAGTATTCCTGTAGAGCAGTGGGATGCAATATTGGTACACCTCACTTTAAGGAAATTGGATAAGGTCAGTCATACAGCATTTAAACAATCACTTAAGGATAAATGTTCGCTAGTGTCGTTACAGGAACTGCTTCAGTTTATTGAAACTCGATTCCAATCATTAGACACGCTTGGTAGAAGATTCGATCAAAAACGTTGGAACACATCAAGGTTAGTTGTAGTTACAAATGAACAATTTTCAACTGAAAAACTGTGTTTAGCATGTAAAAGGGATAACCATCCGTTGTACACATGTAAGTCTTTTCTTCAGGATGCTCCTAGTAAACGGCTTCATCTAGTTCAACAGATGCGCTTGTGCATTAATTGTCTGAAGGCGGGTCATTTTACAAATGAATGCAAGTCAAGTAGTTGCAAAAAATGTGACAAAAAACACAACTCACTGCTACATTTAGAAGATCCAAGCAGTAAGGCTACAGAGCCAGAAGTAAATAATTCAATAAGCCTAGTCTCTAATAGCAATAATCACACACGATGCTATGTTATGTTGGAAACAGCACGTAACATATAACTACAAAAGGCAATAGAGGAACAGAGATCGAATGTAGAGCATTATTAGACTCTGGTTCGCAGGTCAACCTTATCACAGACAGGCTTATGTGAAATTAGGCGAAAACTCCCAAAGGACGTCAGCATGCATTGAAGGTATCGGACAGAGAAAACAAAATGCTCAACGACGATCAATGCTCAAATCTAACATTTGGTTAAGGATTGGGAATAATCTTCCATCATTGCAAAACACGTTACTGGGATGAATAGTGATAGGAATTATAAGTGATCACGAATTACCTCCACAGACACAGACTTGCGGCGTACTTTCAGACGATGATGAAATACTAGAACAGGTCATACAGAAGGCACAAGGCATATTTTACTGTTTTCTGTTGTTTCGCCACCAAAGCAGTATATTTGGAGCTGGTAAGTGACCTAACTACCATAACTACTACGCATTTATTGGATCAGTTAAACGTTTTGTTGCGAGGCGTGGACATTGCCAAAATATATTTTGTGACAATGCAACTAATTTTGTTGGAGCCAATAATAAACTGAATGAGCTAGAAAAACTCATTTACTCAAAAAAATCAGGAGGTGATTGAAAGAGCGTGCAAAAAAAAGGTATTCAATTCAACTTCATTCCTCCTCGTACGCCTCACTTCGGAGGACTCTGGGAAGCAGCAGTGAAATCGGCGAAACATCTGCTTGTGCGCAGCGTTGCCACAGAATCCTTAACGTACGAAGAGCTAGAAACAGTTGTTATTGAAATAGAGTCGATATTAAATTCAAGACCGATTACTCCAATGTCGAATGAACCAAATGACTTTGAAGCACTTACGCCAGGCCACTTTCTAATTGGTGAAGCCCTTACAGCACCAGCAAGTTCAAGCACACCAAAGTTAAAAACATCATTATTAACAAGATGGAAATTGGTCTCCCACTTAAAACATGAATTCTGGAGACGGTGGAACTCTGAATATCTAACGGAGCTACAATACCATAAGACATAAATAGCGAAAACAATGCAATAACTTGCAGGAAAACACCTTAGTTATCATAAAGGATGGAAATATACCTCCTCTTCAGTGGTCATTGGGTCGAGTAACCAACATATATAAGGGTACGTGGACGGAATGGTACGTGTGGTCGATGTTAAATCAGCATCAGGTATTTTGAGACGTGTCATACATAATTTGGCTTCACTTTTTTGTGAAACCAACGATAGTGAAAATAACAAGATCCCACCAGTACAACCCAAGGAAGCAACAAAACACCAATTGACAGCATCAAAAACGCCTGTCATCATCATCACCATCATCAGCGTTACAGCTCGGGGTGAGCTTTAGCTGCATCAACCAGCTTTCTCCATTCTGCTTTGCATGATGTTTTAGATCTCCACCTTTGTATACCCATTTGTATACCCATCCTGATGTCTTCAGTCACGTTGTCGAGCCATCTTATACGTGGTCTACCTCTGCTGCTGTCATTATACGGCGTGAAATGGAGTATTCGCTTTTGTGGTCTATCATCGGGCATTCTCATGACTTGTCCTAACCATCTCAAGCGTTGCGACTTTGCGAACTTCACCACATCTTCACCATCACAAATTTGTAGTAGCTCAGCATTCGTACGCCAACGAAATTCTTCTTGATTCAGGCGGATGGGACCATAAATCTTTCTCAGCACCTTTCTTTCGAATGTTCTAATTTGGTTTTCATCTGCTGTCGTTAGAGTCCACGTTTCGGCATAATACCGGGCGGACGATTGCCTTGTAAGCGTGTAGTTTGGCATTTCTGGTCACGATTTTAGATTTGAAGATTTTCGTGTGTCCGTAATAACTTCTGTTTGCTGCTACAATTCTGTCTTGTATACTAACACTGATTTCATTGTTTTTATTAATAAGGACACCCAAGTATTTGGCGCTTTCAACTTCTTCAAACGTGAACTCACCAACTTGAAAGGGCTCTAAAATTCGGCTGTGCATGTTTCTTCCAACCCTCATATATTTTGTTTTGTTCTCATTAATGTTTAGCCCAACTATCTTAGCTCTGAGTTGTAAGTCGACGAACTTTTCTTTTATATAGTGAAGTGATCTGCCTAAAATGGCTGTGTCATCTGTGTAGGCAATGGTCAGTGATGTTTTGTTGAATATGTTCCCTGTTGCCACTAGTGACTTAATAGCATCGTGAAGGACTATGTTAAAAATGGTAGTTGAAAGCGAGTCACCTTGCTTCACTCCACTTTTAATTTCAAAGGCATCTGTTAGACTGTCACTTTTCCAGTCGTATTGCACAGTGTAATCATTATTAGTTTTATGAGCTTCTGATTGCTCCCGAGTGACTGTAAAGCTTCCTGTATCATTTTTCTATTGATGCTGTCAAATGCTTGTTTGAAGTCGGTGAAAAGGATATGCACTAATGCATTGAACTCATAACTCATTTCCAGGTTCTGTTTAAGCAGAAATATTTGATCGGTTGTTTAACGATTCGGTCTGAAGCCCCCTTGGTATTAACCTAAGATTTCTTTCCCTGCATTCTTTAGTCGCTTGTTTAAAATGCATGTAAAAATTTTGTAACATGTGCTTAACAACGTTATGCCTCGGTAGTTATTACAATCTAGTTTGTCACCTTTCTTGTGCAGTGCTACTACTACGCCAGTGAGCCACGCTTCCGGCAGCCTTTCTTCAGCCCAGACACGCTTGATTAATGTAAACAGCTCTATTTTTGCGCTTTCTCCGCAATGTTTAATCAGCTCTATGATATACTATCTTCACCGGGTGATTTTCCGTTTTTCATTTGCTTTAAGGCTTCTGTAAATTCCTCAAGAGTGGGTTCAGGTTCATGTTCTGTACTTGTAGCTAAGTCTGTTAAGGATAAATTATTACTTTCCGAACCAATGTTGAAAAGTTCTTGAAAATGTTCCTGCCATCTTTTGATAATGCCCTCTTTTTCTACTAGTAATTCCCCATCTTTGTCTTTACACATGTTGATTCGCGCTTGAAAACCCTTTGTTTGATGCTTGATGTTGTGGAAGAAACCTTTAGCGTTTCGATCTGCAAAATCTCTATTGATGTCCAGGATTTCTCTATTGACGGCTTCTTTTTTTTTGTTTTGCATATTATATTGGCTGTTTTTCATTTGTTTTTGTAGTTGCTTTGGTTAGTAATGCTGTTGTCATTTAACATTTGTTCTCTGGCTACAGTCTTAGCTTCCACTGCGACTGCACAGTCGTTATCAAACCAATTGTTGCGTCTACGATTTCTTTTCAAACCAACGGTTTCTTCTGCTGCTTTTGTGATTGAATTTGCAAAAACTTTCCAGTGCTCGTATATATTGGTATAGTTCGTGATATGTCTAAGTGATTCGTTTATTCTCTGCTCATATTGTTGGACCGTTTCGCTGTCATGTAACTTGTCAACGTCCCATTTTTTCCTTTTAGATCCGTAATTTTTACGCACGCCCTTTAGACTTTGTCTTACTGTGGCTTTTACCAGAAAATGGTCGCTATCGACATTCGCACTTCTACAGCTACGAACATCAAGGATAAACGATTTCTTAATATGGTCAATAAGAGCATGATCTATTTGGTTGGCTGTTGTTGAACCTGGTAGCTGCCATGTGCCTTTGTGTATATTTTTGTGTGGAAAATGCGTGCTGCTAATGTACATACCGGAACCAGTTGCGAGCCGACATAACCGTTTACCATTGTCTGATGACACGGTGTGTAGTGAGTGTAAGCCAGCTACATTAGAATTGTATTGTTCTCTTCCAATTATTGCATTGAAGTCTCCAAGTAATATTTTTGTTTTATGTGATGGCATTTTGCTCAATGTCTCGTCTAAGTCTGCATAAAAGGTCTCTTTAGCGATATCATCTGCGTCTTCTGTTGGAGCATAGGCATTTATCAGCGTAAGTTTGCTAAACATTCCTTTAACGGAGATTACACATATTCTGTCATTTATTGGTCTGAAGCCCAAAAACGATTTTTCCACTCGTTTGTTAAGCAGGAATCCAGTCCCAGACCTACCAGACCTTTCAGCGTCACCACTAAAACGGAATTTTGTACCAATGCATTCAATTTCACCACATCCTTGCCATCGTACTTCTTGAACCGCTAGCACATCAACGTTGTACTTTTCCATTTGCTTAATTGTTTCTTGTAGTGCTCCTGCTCTCAGCAGCGTACGTACGTTCCATGTTCCCAGAATTATATCACGCTTTCTTTTTTTTTTTGACTTGTTTTATGTTTTTTGTTTGGTTGATGATGAGTCACAATATTTTTGACGAGGCGGGTTGTGAACCCAGCGCTCAACCCTTTTGGCCCAGGGAGAGGACTGCACGATTTGTTTGTTCTCTGCTAGTATCCGATTTTCTTTTTTTTCTGTTCAAGTGTTTTGAGATACACGGGACAGTTTTTGTCAAGCACTGCATGATTTTCGTCAAGGCCCAAGCCTAGCTTCTCATTTGCACGTATACAATTTATGCATTTATTAACCGGCTCCTCATTGCAATCGCGAGTACGATGTTTTTGATGGCATTTACGGCAATATTCGTCGTACCTGCAATAAGGCACTCTATGGTTGAAGCCCTGGCACTTGTAACATATCATTAAGTCCGTTCCATCGAAAATTTTACACTTTTCCCAGCCAATGTTTAGCTTTTCTGCTTCCATAGCTTTTGTAAAAGTATTCGAGTCCGTTTCAAATATTGCGTTGTAAAATACTTTATTATCTCGATTTATTTCGTACATTTTTGCTAGTTTTAGTTCACAATCAAAGAGGCACTGATTTTGTTTACACAATTTTTCGATAATTTCCTGTTCGTTATATTTAAAACTGATTCTAGAGATAGTAAATCATGGCTTAATAGAGTTTGGGACTTTTACTTCATAATTCTTGCTCATAGCGCCTTCTACAGCACATTTTATTTTTTCTCGCTCGGAAAAACTTTCTGCTTCTATAACAATGGTGCCGTTGTTTGTTTAGGCCTATACAGATACCAATTTCATCAGTTAGCAGTATGAATCATGACGGACGCAATTCGAAGGTATCCAAGCGATCGAGCAACTGCTAATCTTACACCAAAAATTTAGGGAAGACAAAACATGATGTAAAATTGTTAAATAATATAAACACACAGTTATCTGATGAGGCGTCCAGCGATGTACTTCAGTCTATTATTCATGAATGTAATATTTCATATGGCTTAAATTCAATTATAATTTTTTTTTAAATTTTATAAATACTTTCTAATTTGTGAATTACTAACCAGTAAATTAATTTTAACTAATTGAAATTATTAAAATTCACATATGAAACTTTTTCTGCTTGGTTTTAGTATCTATATAAAAGACTTTATTTACTTAACGTTCTCAAACACTAGTAATCAGCTGTTTGGCAACAAAACAAGAATGAAGTAAGCTTTAAGCTAGATAAGGGACATGACAGCAGCTTCTGTGTTGGGTTAAGCTAACAAACTTTCTCTTTAGTTTTTAATCTAAATATCTAAATAATAAAATATCTAAAATCTGAAATAAATATCTAAAAATAAATAAAGACTTAAGTACAGATAAAATAATTGAAGTTATTATTTTAAATTGATTAATAAGGCAAACTACGAGTTTATGTGCTCGGCAATTTACAATTAAAAAAATTGCTAAAATAAATCATCCAACACGTGCATGTGCGTGTTGAAAGCTTGATATAATCATTTGCAATTCAATAAGAACAAACGCGTTCTTATCACTAACCTAACTAATTTGTTTTCAATTGTCTGTCTACTTGTTTTCTTAGCGTTTTTTAAAATTAACAGTACTTCTCCTAGATTTTTTATAATTGTGTCCATGTGACAACAAAATTGTTACAACAATATAGTGAAACTATTTTAAGACAATTGAGTGGAAATTCTTAGGAGGATAATAGAAACAATAAACCATTATTATTATAACAAACCAAGTATAAAACAGTAAGATAATATGCATCAATTATTATTAATTTTAACATCAAATATTCAACCGACACATCTTCAGAAATATGTGTAATACACATTGTGTATTATGTAAAAATTAATCTTAATTTAAATTTATGTAATTATATTTTATTGCTCATCATTTAGTAAGTGTGATGATTTATGTATATTTATTATATAATAGAAAAGAGATATATTTAAACTGCATAAAATTAATATGAATTACATGGAATATTATTATATTTTTTTTATTTTATTATTTACTTAAATTTATTTTCATACGTCATTGCTTGTATTTCTGCGTACATGTTTATGTCTATTTTATAAGCAATGAATATAATTATCGCTACTAATAATAAAGTAAGGAGTGCTACCTGTGTATTTCCTGTAGTTGTTGTTTGAGTGTTGTTAATATTGTTTGTGACATCAGTTTTTCGTCCTGGTTTGTTTCCCAAGTTGTACTCGTCGTTCGAGAACCATCCCATGTTTGTTTATTTAGATGTAACTTTTTGAATTTAGATGAATTTTTGTTTATTTTGTTGTTGTTATTTTGTTGTTAATATTTTTCGTTGCTTTTTGTATAAAGTATATTTTTATTAATAACATAATTGTCTTGTAGTAATACGGTTATTATTTTCACAAAATAAAACAATTTATCGTTTTTATTATTTCATTCACTTCACAATGTTTCTTATTTAATTGAATATATGTTTTCAATTCAATGCATTCATCATTTTTACAACTTGTCGTTTTTATCTTTTTTTTTTAGTTTTTAAATTTATGGTCCTTGCCAATTTGGGAGGATCGCCATGTAATGTTATGGTTAAAGTGTATAGTTATTTTAATAGTTATTATTTGAACTTTAACAAAAATCATTTTTATCTTAATCACAATTAAAACGACTTTTACTTTTGGTTGTCCAATCAAGACTCTGTTCAAGACTGATTTTTATAATTTACTCATTGCTAAATCTAACGTAGTTTCTTACAACTAATTTCCAATAGAATCTTATGTATCGATTCTATTGGTTGTTATTTAATTTACTTACGTCTAATTGATTATTCAAAATTAGACGTATATAATGTCTTACAAAATAGCTTACATATTTATTGGTCATTATTGTTATATATTTTACAGTGGCACACATCTGGTTACCAACTGCATTGAGGGCATATCATATTGCATGCGCGATCGCTTGCAATATGATTCCATGAAACACTTAACACAAATTCATGTGTTGAGCATACCGCAATCCAAATTGTCAAATGCATATAGTAACAATTAAATATGCATACAATTTATTTGTCATAAAGAAATGACAAAACAGAAGAGTCAAATTTCTGACTCATAAATTATTTCAAATTTGGCATTTCGGGTTTTTCGGTCATGCTTGATATTTGAGTGTTTCGGGTTAGTGGGACACATTAAATATCGCACACAACGTATTGTGTGTGGTCATGGTTAATATGCCACTACACTTCGTTGTCGTAAATTTGCTCAAATGGTGTTTCATCGTCGTTTCATAATACGTCAAACAAGGAATTAGCTACATTTCCAATAACATTTATTACTCCCCGTTTTGATCTTGCAATAGGGGATATGAGTAAAGCATTTTCCATTTCAATGTCGCTGTGTCATTGGTCATATAAAGTTACAAGTCTGTCGCATGCAAATTGGCTACTGCTTTGATGACAATGGTTATCAAGGGCTTCTGTGGTCGACCTAATCGAATCCCAGGCACTCCAAAAAGATGATAAGTTATAGTATACTACAATGTTCCACTGACTTGATATGATTTTGGTGGCTCCGATATTTTCGAAATAAAGTCCAGGTTTAATAAATTGTTCAACCTCGATTGCTGCTTTATTTATGCTTATGGGTTCTTCGGATGTATTTTGCTCGATTGGTTCGCTTGTATCGATCGGCAGTAGTGCTAATCGATGAATTGCCCGTTTTATTATACCGTGTTTGGTACGCACATTAGCTACACGTATTTTTTTATCTGGGCCTCTGAAGGTTTCTACTATTCTTTCCAATGGCCACTGAAGTGACGGTGTATGCTCTTCATGAATTAATGGTTCTAATTCATGGCCCACTTTAATATTGTCTTGGGCTTTCTGCCATTTGGATCGATGCTGTAAATCACTTAAGTACTCTGACCGCCATCTATGCCAGAAGTCTTCTTTAATATTGATAATGCGCTTATATTTTTTTTTAAACTTAGGCGTAGGGGCTTTCCGTCGATATCAATTGTTGCGGTGAGAGGATCACCGATTAAGATATGTCCAGCAGTTATCGCGGTTAGGTCGTTAGCATCTGGTGACGTCGAAATTAATAGTCTCGAATTCAAGATCGCTTCGATTTCTATTATGAGTGTTTCTAACTCCTCGCATGTTAAACTGACGTTTAATGTACTTCGCTTAAACAAATTTTTTGCTGCCTTGACGGCTTCCCACAAGCCACCGAAGTATGGGGTTCGTGGTGGGATGAACTTAAAATCGATATTGTACGAATAGCAAATACCCTGTATTTTTTTTTGCTTCTTTCATCAAACTCAGCATAGTTTAGCGAGTTCCTTATTGGCTCCAACGAAATTAGTGGCATTGTCACAGTATATTTTCCGGCACATCTCTCTTCTTCCCATGAAACGTTTTAATGCCATGATGAATGCGTCAGTTGTAATATATGTGACTACCTCCATATGTATGGCCTTTGTTGCAAAAGAACGAAATACGGCGACATAGCTTTTTGTTGGACGTTTTACCCTGATACGATAATGAGTCCATATTGGACCCCAAAAGTCAGCTCCTGAGTTTATGAATGCTCATGCTGGTTCAACGCGATCATTTGGCAAATTTCCCATGATTTGATTCAGTAGTGTCTGCTTTGCCTTAGTGCAGATAATGCATTTATGAATAATAGTTCTTACTGTCATCTTTCCTTTGAGCGGCCAGTACTGCTGTCGCATAATTGCCAGTAGTTCTTGTGGTCCAATATGTTCATTGCGGACGTGAGTTTCTTGCATTAAGAGTCATGTTAATGGACAATCTGGTAGCAGGACTGGGTGCTTCGCATCAAATGAAAGTGAGAAAGATTGAAGCCGTCCGCCAACTCTTAGAAGACCTTGTTGATCAATGAATGGATCAACAATGAACTAGTTTTGCTAGTTTTGCTG